AGTCAACAAGAGGATAGATCACTAATTTTAATTTTTTTTATCAATTAGGCTAAGGTGTATATTTGTATATGGACCAATAAAGTAATTATTTTTATTGTAGCCCATTGATAATTATGAATTAAGTCTTTTATTATAATACATCAAATTGGGTAAATATGATACGATGGATCATCAAATTATATAATTTTTTGAATGTTAAATAATTAGTACAATAAAAAATAAATAACTTTTTTTTGAAGAAAAAATTATATCAAAAGGTGGTAATTCACACACACACACAGATATATATACATATATATATAAACTCTCATAATATAAACTAAAATTGTAAAAAATTAGGGGGGGCCAACTTTGACTTATACATATATTTACATATTATGAATTAAATTTTTCAAAACTCAGGGGGGGGGGCCATGGTCCCCCTCTGCCCCCCTTGGCTCCATCATTGCAAACAAATAAAATGAACAACCCATTTGCTGAACCCAACTCTTTAATTCTTTCGCTAATCTTCACAAGTCGCGAATTGTGAATTAGTAACACTTAAGTTTATCAAATGTAAAGACAACTGTGAATTTTGCTGATTTGTCATGAATGATATCGGCTGCCACTGTTCCGCCTATGGCCTGCAAAGATTGGATTAATTTTTTGGGCGGGAACATGGTCTCGTATCCTTCGCCATACGGGATTGGGAGCCGCCAGTGTTGCGCCCCAAAGCATATGTGAAGGGCCATGGTGCAGTAGTCAATCAAAAGCTTCACAGTAGTGAAATCTCACATTGGAATTCACACAAGCAAATGTGGGCTCCCCTCCACGCACGACCGTTCATTATCTGGCAACCGTACAACTCTTGCATCTTCTCCTGTAAGAAAGACTGGCGCCAGTCTTGTCCACACCAGATTTACACCCCAACCGAGCTAATGGAGACTCCTCTAACATAAGGTCCCTGTAAAAAAAAAAAAAAAAAAAAAAAACACTGTTATCTCCCTGTAAGCCATGTGAGTCGTATGATTAAGAGAGCCAAATTTTCTGCTGGCTTAAAAAAAAGCCATGTTGTGCCTTACACCAACCTCTCTAACTAGTTGGGTAGTATTAAGCGCTTCAAAAATGTTTTTTATTTATATTTTATCCCTTAAATTAAGTTGTGTATGGAACAATGTGTACTCTTTTGTTGTAATGGAGGAATGTCTAACAGTTGCAATTTTCTACGAAAACGGTTGCATTGTTATTCAGGGGACAACTGAATGTATTTGTAGAAGGGAAACTGAGTACCCATTTTTCCATAAATAAAATTTTTTATCGGGAAAAAAAAATATAAAATCGATTTACTTTAATTTTTTTTTTTTACGTTAATTGACCAGCTCTTTATGGTTTTCCGCCATTATAAGAACAGAGTACCCATTTAAGGAGCATAAATAAATTTTTTTATCGGGTAAAAAACTTCCTTATTTATCGATTTACGTTAATTGACCTGCGCTTTATGGCTTTCCGCCATTATAAGAACAGAGTACCCATTAAGGGGCATAAATAAAATTTTTATCGGGAAAAAAAATTATAAAATCAATTTTTCCAGTAATTGACCAGCTCTTTATGGCTTTCCTCCATTATAGAAACAGAGTACCCATTTTTCCATAAATAAAATTTTTCATCGGGTGTCAAAAAAATTACAATCCATTTACGTCAATTGACCAGCTCTTTATGGCTTTCCTCCATTATAAGAACAGAGTACGCATTTTTTCATAAAAAAATTTTGTAGTCGGGTACAAATAAAATTAAAATCGATTTACGTCAATTGACCAGCTCTTTATGGCAATTTTTCCATTATAACAACAGAGTACCCATCGTACCCTTATCTCCTCCTATAAAAGCTTAACACAACTAAACTTCTTCCTTGCATGCCCATTCACCCCGGCGTTGGTTTCGCACAACAGAGAACCCTATTGCATGCCGCTTGAGCTTCATACAACCCCGTTGTATCAGTTTCGCATCTTTCTTTTACCACCCGTAACATGTAAGTACTGGTATATTCTCTTCGTTCTGTATGTTTTTTTCCTGAACCGACCCTTCATTCCTCGTAACATAATCGATTTTCAGACTGACTCATGGCAGGGTATGGACGACTTCCTGAAATGCATGTCCTCAACAACGGAGGCATGGTCGCCTACTTTCAACATGAGCTCTTACCACTTCACCACATTGCCGTGAAGTGGATAGTTGAGGAGGCGCTGGTGCGGTTAGATAGGTTTCCGGGACCGGACTTTTCGTAGTCGATGCTGGTGTCATGCATACCGGTTCGTAACCTCATTGCGAACGAGGAAGTATTCCGTTCGCTGGTCAAGTGGCGCCGTCGTCCACTCCCCCTTATGCAGAACCTGAAGGCGTTTTACATCATGACCTACAATGCCTGGTTTGTGGGCAAGGAGGAATTTGTTGCACATTTCCTCGGTCAAAAACCACTGCTCCATACCGACGTGTGGATCCTCTTCGGTGCCAACTTTGAAGACTGGTCTGTAACACGGTTTCTGGCTGAACAGGGGTATGCCGCCAGTATGACACGCAACGTTGCCATTGCGGACAACCTTCACACCGCAACCATTTGCTGGAATCCATCAGCTGTAGAGATCACGTTTGAAGACAGAGATGCTATTGACAGCCTTCTCCTCACTGTGCGGCGCAAGAAATACTGCAGCTTTCTCAGGGTAGCTACCACGGTTGCCTCCTTAAACCCTATGTTTGGTCTTATTGTGGAGCGTTTCGAGTGAACGTTCGCAGTTACAGCGGTGTGCTTTTAATTTTTTTTGTTGAACATCATATTTGGAGGTTGAGCGGTTTTTTGTTCATGGCCGTTGCTGTTGTTGGGCGTACCATGCATGGTTTTTATTGTAAGCGTATGAAGGGTAGGGGTTAGGGGATGATATTATGCAAGGCCTGAAAATGTAAGCCGTGCACCCTATTGTCGGATATGTAAGCAGTAAGCGGATGTACTTAAATCCAAATATATATGAGAAGAACTTGTTTTCGTCGTTCAACTCCACAAATTTCGCATTGGTAAACCTAACAATGCTGTGCCACTAGCCAATTGGTTGTACGTAAGCTTCAGCTTGTTCAGTTGGCTGGCTAAGCTGAAGTTCATATTTAACAACGCAGCGGTTGCCATCGCAGTGACTAATGACGTTCATCGATCCATCTACGATCCGTAGTACCTCATCCGCACACACATTGCGGGGGACAAAGGGAACAGGCATTTCGGAAAACCACATCATGCACAATGTAAACAAAAATCAAATACGGAAACCTAGTATGTTATATAACGGAAAATCTTAAATTACACAGTAACACTCCGCCGGTTGGGCCAACTCAGTCGCATATGCGGCAACCACCGGTTGACAACGGATGGACAAAAGGCAATGCCACAGCAGTAGCAACCACAAAAATACAAGAGACTGTAAACGAGCCTAAATTGCCATTCTATCCTTATTGGGACCATAGAAACAGTACTGCAACCGGGGGGGGTTGGAGGGGATGCAATCAACGGCAACACATTCATTCACGATTTCAGAACCAGAACAAGGACTACCGCCACCACAGCTACCACAGCAATGTTAAGGATCGTCACGTTCCTTTGCATGCTTCTCAGTTCAGCTATGATGGCAGACACCTCCGCCGCGGGTCTATTGCTGACGGGGGCGGTACTTGACGGGGCGGGATCAGGAACTTCAAACCCCGTTGCTCGAGCAAACTCATCACACCAGCCAATGAACGTTCGACAGGGCCTCTGCAATACAACTACGTTAGCAATCTGAAATATTTGTTCGGAACAGTTCTGCCGTGGAACTTACCAGGGCGTTAGCGCAGCGATAGTAGTGGCGCCCCCTGTTTGCTTCAGACTTCCAGACAACACGAACTGCACAGCTTCGACCACAATTGCAATATAATGTAGGCCAGATCGTGCTATTGGCCGACCCGGCTGAAGACGAAGAAGCCATTCGCAAACGTTAATCTCCTCCGGTACACCGCCTAACGAACAAGAATTTGGGGGTTGGAAGCAAGGAATAGGTTTTACTCTAAAGTAGTCAACACATTTGTTTGCTTGTTTTGTTGACGTTTTGGAACGAATACAATAAATATGAATAATCTCACAAATTTGTCCCTGAGGTTTCTGACACTTTCACTGGCATCCCCCGACCTTCTCAAAATTTCACTGACCTCCCTTAATTTTTAGTTTTTTGTAACAATGCAGTCCAAATCTGATTACAATATTATTTTCATCTGTGAGAAAGTATTTTTATATATTTTGTATGCCCTGTTTGGTCCTAGGCTTACAAAGGATAAACACCAGCTCTTTATTACTTTTAACCCACTTGGCGAATAAACACCGGCTCTTTATGCCTCTTCTCAATTAATGGGTGACAGACTCCACAAATACATCCGTGGCAGCATACGAGGAGTCAGGCTTGCGGGAGTATATGCATTCAACATCACCTTTTGCCCTTTCGGTTGCCATTTCACCCGCCGGACCTCTCTGCCAAATCTGTGATAGCGACCATTTCCCATACCAGCTCTGGTTGCCGACCCATTACAGCTACGAACTAAGGCTCCCTGTTTATCACTGTGGAAGCTCCTTTGCTCTGCGATGAACGTCGACCAATTTACGATGTAGGTGTACATCGTGACTGTTCATGGTCCCTTGCTACCGGTGTTTTGTTACGGTGCGTATGAAATAACCGTATTGGAATAATACGTTGGTCGGTTTGTAAAATTGTTTCGGATGACTGTTTTTTGACGACAGAATGTTGCGTCGTTTGCAGGAGAAGTTGTGCCTTTCCAAATTTCTGTTCGTTTATCGCTACGGTTACTCGGTCTCCCACAAACAGGGCTATATATTACACCTTATCAATCATTATTGGATTTGATTAGGAAGTAGGTGTTGTTTGAAGTTTACTCCATTCTTGGGCGTTCGACGGATTCACTCGACTGTGGCCAGTAAAAGAAATTAACCGGACATGGCCAACGAACAAAAAGGGCGTTCAACAACCTGCATCCTGTCCCTTCCGACCGAGGTGCTATCCGAGGTGCTTGCACGTGTCGCATCTTGTTCATCCACTGATCTTTTCCGGGCAAAACTATGGTTCGTTCTGGTATTGGTGATAGAAACAGGAAGAGGCGTTTTCTTGTTTGACATGTTACAATCGTTTGCGTTTAATGGATCATTTATCTTATTTTGCAGCTGTAAGTTGTTTTACGAAGTTTCGGACGCAGACAACATTTACCACCGGGTGTCACTGGACAAGTTTGAAATCGTTCCGTGGTCAAAAAACGACCAAGTGTCGAGGTTCTTGAAGAAGTGTAGAGAAAGCAAAAATCCAGAAGCCTTGTATCGAAAAGGAGTGGTAAGCATCGGGCCGATGTCCCGTTTGCTCGAAATTTTGTAGACTAAGCTGACGTCATCTATTTCATTTGAACTTAATTATGATTTTGGTATGCACACTTTACCCCAAAAGATATATACAACAGGTTACTGCAGCTTTCTGCCCCGCCGCCACTGTTCCGCCTGGACATTTTTTATTTTTTCGTTACTATTTCATGACTTTTACGGAAGAGTGTAATATCAACCTTGCGCTGTTTAGGTTGATTATTTTACGGACAAGCATGAGGGCTCAGCATTGCAATGCCTGGAAGAAGCTACCAATTCGGGCCATGTCGATGCGGCATATGTGTTGGGAATAATTTACATCTTTGTTGGTGGGGACGAGTTAAAGCGCAAAGGTATGCGACTGCTGAGCGGGTTGAAGAAATCCAGAATTCTGAAAGCCAGAAATCAATGTTGTCGTGACAATTTGCGATCGCTGCTGAGGATGATATGGGTCAAGAACCCCTTATTTCTAAACCCAACGCCCATTTGTTGTGCCATGACACACGAGAGGAAAACATCTTCATGGCCTATGGATGCCGATGACGTGGAGGAGAGTACATGTGAAGGCTGCGCTTGCGATGAAGAAATTGGAGCAATTTGTGATGCCCTACCTTATCGTTAGTGTATAAGATTGAATGTTGACAACTCCTTTTGATGCACAAATTTGTCACCATGGTGTACAAATTAATTATGTTTTTTCCGTAAATTGACCGCTACTTCTTATTCTGTTAATATTACTGGTATGAAAAGCTAAATAGCTTATCTTCACCCTTGTATGTTCTGTAAAGTATCACTTTACGTCAATTGACCAGTTCTTTATGGCTTTCCTCCATTATAAGAACAGAGTATCCATTTTGCCATAAATAAAATTTTTTATCGGCGAAAAAAAATAAAATCGATTTACGTTAATTGACCAGCTCTTTATGGCTTTACTTCATTATAAGAACAGAGTACCCAGTTTTTCGTAAATCCAATTTTTTATTGGGTAAAATAAAAATTCTAAGCGATTTACGTTAATTGACCAGTTCTTTATTTCTTTCCTCCATTATAAGAACAGAGTACCCATTTTTCCATAAATAAAATCCAAACATCGGGGAAAAAAAATAAAAAACGATTTATGTTAATTGACCAGCTCTTTATGACTTTCCTCCATTATAAGAACAGAGTACCCATTTTTAGATAAATAAAATTTTTTATCGGGTAAAAATAAAATAAAATGGATTTACGTTAATTGACCAGCTCTTTATGGCTTTCCTCCATTATAAGAACAGAGTACCCATTTTTCCATAAATAAATTGTTCACTCCGATGAAATAAAAATTTAATCGATTTACGTTGATGTTTCTGAACTCTTTATAGCTTTCCTCCATTATGAGAACAGAGTACCCTCTCGGACATAACTAAATTTATTTATCGGATAAATAAAAAATAAACTCGATTTACAATAAAAGACGGAGCTTTTTATGCCTTTCCTTTACAATAAAGTCGATTTACGTAAACAAATTTATTTATGGGATTAAATGAAAATAAACAAGTTCCTGAATAAAATACGAGATCTTTTTGGCTATCGTCCATAAATTATCCATTTTCTGATTTTTGCATAAGCTAATTCAGGGGAGGTTTGTGAAAGTATCCCTTATAATATATGTGTATATCATATATTTAAATTATATAAATACATAATTACATTTGTTATTAAGAATAGATTGTAATATAACCCCTTGTGATTTGGCTTCCGCATAACCCGCTTCGGAATACACGCTGGAATACCGAATCGGGTTGATCTTGATTTGAAAAAATCGGGTTTGCCTCCCTCCACGCCCGTCCCCGCCTGATCAATTATCCCACAAAAAGCTCGTCTTTGTTGAACTTCTCATCGTTTCTCCTGTTTAGCCCATTAAAAGCTCCGTTGTTGTGGTGTAAACACACTTGAAAAGCTTCGGTTTAAACTTTCCCCCCCTTCTGAAATTTGGAGCAGTTCGAAGTGTTTTAGGCGGCAAGGTCCAAATAAATCGGATTTATCGCGTTCGGTTCCTCTGTTGCTCAACGTACTCAACAATTGAACCGCATCCCGAAGCAAGCATAGGCAGTAAAATGGAGGCCTGTATGAGTCTTCCAGTGTATGCAGGCATGTGGGTCGACGTACAAGCTCTCGCTGGTGAGTGTATCGATATCACGGAATATCTTAATGCCCAAAATTTGTTAAATTTGCTGGGAAATAATGACAAGTGCTATAATGCAATGGTTAGGGAATTCTATGCTAACTGTAGGGCAAATAAGCAGAAGTCTGTTCCGCGTTCAGTGGTTAGGAAGGTACACATGGAATTGTCTGCTGAGGTTTTGTGTTCAGAGTTTGGGTTGGTTGACAGTGGATACACTGTTGACTATAAACGGATTAGCGCAAAGAATGTAGATAAGGTTGCTGTGAAGGGGTACAATGACCTAGAATTTCTTGGAGAGATTCGGCAAAATGGTTACAGAGCTATGAAATTGGGCAAAAAGAATAAGTTTTATGCGCCGTATATGAAAGTGTTGCCACGGCTGTTACATCTGATAATAACGCATAGCATTGTTCCTAAAGCCGGAAGTATCACTTCCGTTAGTGTATTAGAAAGAGTTATATTGTGGCATATGTTACACAAACAACCAGTAAACATAGGCAATTTGATCATTGCAACTATGCTCAACAGGATTAGGAAGATTAAGAGCAGGGAGAATAAGAGAACACATCTCCCTTTTGGTATGTTGCTGACCAGGCTGTTTAGGCGCTTTGATGTGCCATTCTTGGCTGACCATGTTGACAAAGGATTTTACGGCCAAAAAATGGGGGTATCGTACTTCAAAAGACTGGCATTCAAAGGTGAAGATGGTGGTTGGATGTGGAAGAAATCCTATACCTCTGATGCTGTCATTGGTCAGACTGGGGACGCGAATAGAAAACTTGTAGAAATAAAAGAGATGGATAAGGGGGGGAAGTGTGCTGGGGTCGAGGTGCGGCCGGTTGTGGGGAAAAACCACACCTTGAAGAAGTTGTCCTACTATATGAACAGACCAGAAAAGGGGCAACTGTATGTGACATTGTTATTTTACTCCTTGTTTCTTCTTCTCGATGGCAACACAGGAGGATAACCCAATATTTGTATGACTAGGTTGTGGATAAAGTGAAACAAATTTTACAAGGGGTTGGTGCCATCAAAGTGAAGGACTGCGGATTTGAGACATTGCCATTTCTACGAGATGTAAGACATGCTCTTGCGCTTTTTAAATAATCCCCTTTATATATGCTAATACCTTTATTGTCCAGTGTCTACCACAAGCTTCCGGCGTACCACCTGATGAATTGAAAGAAGCCGTATGCTTTCATGTCAGAGAACTCATCCCGCAGATGTATGTTAAACTATCGGTACTGTCAATGGCTAACAATGGTCTCGCTTTCATCTCTTTATTGTAATCATGTCAATCATTGTTCACAGCTGTGTCAGTACACTAGATAGGCAGCATCTCTTTGATATTACTAGAGAAGAACTGGAGCAAGTGATGCTTCAGGAGACATGTCTCAGTGACAAAGTAAGTTTTTTATGCGATTGCACAGGCCTACCTTGTTCACTGATCTCGCTTTGTATTTCCACTCTTATTGAATGTTTGAATTTGTTCCATTCTGTGAAGGTTGTGACCCAGTACCTTCACTTACTCCAGAAACAATATAAGCAATTTGTTTTCTTCAATCTTATGTTTTGGGTACGTAACGAAAATTATTGTATGTGCTGTTGTGCCTTGCAAAATGTGGAACTAATACTTGCTTCTCAATCGCTTCGTTGTAGCTGAAATGTGTGTTAGACTATCCATGCATATCTCCCGCAACCAAAAAGCCATTCGTTGATCAAAGCAATGACGACTCCATGACAAATCCTGAAAAGGTAAACATTAGCTATCATTCTCGCCTTAACATTCTTATACAATATGAGTAGCAGCTGCATGTTAGTGGAATTGGATTCAGCCTAATATGCCTTAGCTTTTAACACATTCGACATTGCTTGTATGTGATTGCAGATTTTTTTTCCAATCATTTATTCAAATCATTGGTTGCTCATGATTGCACATGTCAAGGACAAAGAAGTGTACATTGTTGATTCTATGGACAATTACAAAACCTTCTACCAAGGTTTGATGCAATCTGTGGTGAGTAAACATCGAAATCGTACCTTAGCTTCATTTCCGAAGAAGGTAACATATTTCTAACATTCGATACCTGCTGTATTTATTTCCTTTTTAGGAATGGATTTTGATGGAAATTTTCCACGAAAATCAACCCTGGACATTTATTGTTGTAAAACACAAACTAAAACAGACAGACGCGGCAAGTTGCGGGGTTTTCACCTTGAAGTTTGCGCAATGTTGGGCAAAGGGGTGTCGGCCACAATTTGTAAGTGCACAAATATACAACCCCTTGTGGCAAGCTCACTTTATTGCGTCTGACATCATTTCTGAATGTATGTACAGCTTGATGCTGTCATTGCTAGAAAATTTATTGCCTGGGAGATCGCTTTGGGAAAACTTGCGGACCCGTTCGCTTATGCTGCGTTCCTGATAGAAAATAAACAGGCACATGAGGCTGTAACCAGAGGAGATTTGCAAAATGATGCTACCAACGATGTGGGGCATCAGGAAACAGGGAACGGTACATTATGTCTCGCCTTTACTGTAATTGGTTTGTTGCATATGAAGGCAATATTAAATTTTAAATTCTTTAGGGCATTTGCAAATTATTGGTACGGAATTAATCTTGTATAAAGGAAACCATAAAAAGTGTACGTACCTCTGTTCCGATGCATCTCCCCGTGACCATCGCATTCACAAATTGCTTTTATACTCCCGCTATTCCATTATTGCAGGGCTGCTGCTCACGACATTGTAATAAATTCTCGACCCCAGATCTTTGCTTTACACTTTCCAATTCCTCTTGTTTGATTTCGCATTATGACATTCAAATTGGATCTCACATGCAAAATCCATGTGCTGAAAAATTGTATGCCTTCAATTTTTCCCCAGTCGAAGGTACAAGGGTAACAAAAAGCCCGCCAGAACTTGCGTCCGCCAATGATTCAAAGAAGAAGCTTCTTATTCTTGATTTGAATGGAGTGGTTCTGGGCAGTGCATTTCGCCATTCGACCAGAAATCAGGACTTCAACTTCAGGCCACATTGCTTTGAATTTTTGAAGGTCTGTCTGTCATATTTTGAGGTGGCTGTTTGGTCATCGAAGCTAAGGTATCCGCGAACCTATATTTGAATTACTTCATTAACTGGAACTTCAATACAAGTTTTTGTGTTATCATTCGAATTGAAGACATTTGTGTTTTCTGCAGCCACAATATTCAACCAGTGTTGGACAGTCTATCCAAAAAAATGAATGAACGTTTGGAGCAGAGACTGTTATTTGTTTGGGTGAGATGTAATTCACAAATTACTTCGATTGTGTGTAGTCAGTCCGTGTGCAAGACTTCTGATAAAGGAAAGTCGGGAACAATCAATATTGTGCAGGATCAGTCGCGGTGCACTATGACACAAACCAGCCTTAGGGAAAATCCAAACAAAACGGTGATGTTTAAGGACCTAAAACATGTG